GGGCATATATGCCCGGCGTAGAGGATGAGCACGTGTGCCCAAGGCAATGCGAACGATATCCTTGACACCTTTGAAGATTGAGAGAGAGTTCAGGCGACGAAAAGACTCCAGCAGCTACATGAAGACGAAGACCGGCCCTCTCGAGTGAGAACAACCCACTAACTCCCGCATCCCGGCCCCTTCCTTTTGGCAACCCCATCCCACCTCCTCCTTACCCAATTCTCGTCCCCGACCTGACCCCCATAACATCACGCTCCCCCGCCAATCATATCATCCCACATCGAATCCATATTCACCCCCCTCTGTTCCTTTCGACCCAAGCACGTCCTGACTACATCGCCTTCCCAACCCCCTTCCAGCGTCAATCTAACTCCCATCACTTGGTAGAGATCGAATAGACATATCTTCTCTCCCCAATCTGTCCCAACTCATCTTCCCCTCCGCCTCCAACCTCACCTCAACTTCTCCAACTCCGCCACCTGGCCCGAATCATGTCGGCTTGCGCCCAACTTTCGCGTAAACATCCATCCTAAACCCACCTACCCCGATATTGACACAACAGTGATATACCCCAGTCGTCACTATAGTCACGTACCCCCACCATCATCTCATAGTCCGCTATAATCATCCCCGGTTGTTTGGTTCACCCACCACTCCCTTCCTCTCTCGCCGGATCCAACAGAAAACCGATCCCCAAGAAGGGAGGGCAAACGCCACCCAACTAGCATCTCCCCCACCGACGAGGCGTTAGTCCAAATAAAAACTCATACCGTCCATGACTGTCGGCTTCTCCTCCATTCAAGCCGCAGTAAGGGCATTCCCGGCGAAACAGACAACCCAAGCCGTGTCGTCCAAGCTACAACCTTGACACGCCCCCTTCCATATATTAACCATCAGCACGCCACCGTCCATCCAATACTCGTCCTAGTTGAAAATCCCGACCATCTTCGACCCAACCACACACTCCTCTTCCAACCTTCCCCGTCACCCTACCACTCGCCTCAATTAATAATTCGACCCCTTTTACCCCCAACCCGGACTTCAACACCGATCCCAATCCGATTCCCTCTCTCCTCCTCGTCACCCATCCCCAACCCCGATCCCAACAGCGACAGCTACCTCCTTGTTTATCTCTTCCCCCCCCCGCCCCGGCCCCAACCTCGACCCCATCCGATCCTAACTCCAACAGCGGCCGCGGCCATAGCTCAAAGCCCTCCTATCTCGAATTTCAGTCTCATCCCCATCCCATCTCCGTTGCGTATCCACTTCACCCCTATCCATCTCTCTCCTTGATCTCTTTCTGAACACAAACCGATCTCACCCATCCTTTCCCTACCCATCCCGATCCCGACCTCAGTCCGACCCAAACCAATCCCGTTCATACCCCGATCCGAACCCATCCGCGAAACGCACCCACCTCACTCCCACTCCTCTCTCCCCTCGATATCATCCCGAACATCAACCGATCTCACCTCATCCCTTCTCTACCCCATCCAGATCCCAACCCGTTCTTACCTCAAATATACCCCAACCCCACCTCGACCCCAGTCCGATCCAATCCAATCCCGTTCACACTCCGATCCCGACCCATCTTCGAACCACACTCACCTTACCCCCACTCCTCTCTCTCCTCGATCTCATCCCGAACACAAACTGGCCTCACCCCATCCTTTCTCTACCACTTCCCGATCCCAACTCAATCTTATCTCTAATATATCCCAACCCCACTCCTACCTCAATCCCACCCGATTCAACCCCGATCCCATCCCGATCCCAACCCGTACCCATACCGCCCCGGCTCGATTCTCAATATCTGACGCAAACCAGCTCCTACCCCCCTAACTCCCACTCTCCTCCTATCCAGACATCAGTGCGACTCCCACCCCGTCCCCGACGTGCATCTGCCCCCCAACATCGTCCTCTCCTAGACCTCACTCCGAACGTAACACTCCTCCCCCGATCCCTCCCCATCTCTCACAGTATTGATCTCATACCACCCCACTCACGGGATTCCAACTCCAATCCCAGATTTTACCCCCCGCACGCTTCCTTTCCTAACACCACCCGGAACCAAATCACCAATCAAGGTTGGTCTCGTTGCCTGCTGATCACGGTCAGAATCCCAAGTCTTCTCCTGAATCAGGGGAACTGTCCCCTCCAACCCGTAATAGAGGCTCTTACCACAGTCCAAGGGGAACGGGTAAGATAGGTGATAGAACACTGACCATTTTTGTCTTCTATCAGCATGGCATCGCCGCTCCTCAACCCGATCCAAGCTAGTCAAGGAATGGGGGAAAGCAACAACCGCGTTATTGACAATGAAGCACTTAAGTTCCTAATAGAGAAAACCAAAGTCCAAGGAGAGCAAATCACAAAGATTCAAAAGATTGAAGGCAAAGAAGAAGAAGTTATCATTTGGAAGTATCCGGAAGAAAAGGTGGCAGCACTGGATGATTTGCACGAGAGGCACGGCGTGGTTTTCAACTTTGCACGGAATGGAGCAAACCTCCAACCACCTGAGAAAAGGAAGTGGATCATAGAAGTTAGCAAGAAGGAATTGAATCTCAAACAATCCGGTGAGACATTCACACTGCAGATTCTGGGTCGGAACAACATCATGGCACTCTTCATACGAGAGGAACATGCAAAAACAGCAGCAGAATTACAGTCCAGGAACTGTCATGGTTCGGTTTGCACAATCAGCAAATGGAAAAAATTGTCTTCCCAGAAGCAGAGTCAGACATTCGCGGTCTCGTACAAGCAGACACTTTTAAAAGAAAATTTATGGGTGCAATTTGACAATGTGCAACCGGGGCTGCATGGACTGCTAGCAGACAGATTAGAAAGGCAATATCCGACAAACAGAATCCTGAAATGGGTGCTCCCCACACCGGATTTTCTGGCCCCGCACTGTGGATCCATGACGGCAGTGATCGAGGTGAAGACAGACAATCCTCCGATCTTCCCACAGACCTGGAAATTCCAGATTGAAAGCAGATCAGTGGAAGTCAAAGTGTCCACCAAATCCTCCCCGATCTGCTTCCGCTGCAGAGAAAGAGGCCACATGGGATGAGACCCGAACTGCCCCAAGTATCCGAACCAACCTAGAGAACGAAAGCTCCTCCCCAACATGTTGGTGGAGGTGGAGGATGCCCCGCGCATTTGGTTTATTCCGGACAACAATTACAACGGGTGGGTCTTCGACGACAATCTGGAGGCTGTGGCATTACGCCGATCAAGATCCAGAAGTTAAAAAACCCAATGTTTTCCCCCCGGCTGACAGCAGATGGCAAAAAAGAGCCACAGGGGAGATATCAGGCAACCCATTGAAAATCACTACTGACCCACTGATCGATTCACGGGTTATCAAGGAAGAAAAGGATAGAGAAGACTTGTTATGGGACCTGGAAGCAGTGAAAGAACAGGCAATACTTCACTTCAACAAAGACTCGACAGAATTCAGAAGCATGCTCTCCAAGATGGAGCAAACAGCAGCTCTTAACAGAACAGGGGCTCAAACAGACAACAAAAGGACAATGGACAAGGGAAAGACACAAGGGATCCAGGAAGGGGGCCCAAAGAGGAGGAAGACAGTGGATGTTCAAGAGGAGGTGGTAACTCTCCCAGCTGACAAAGAAGGAGAGGAGGGGAGAACAACATCGGGAGGAACTGGGTCTAAGAAATCGGGTGAGAGCGGGAAACGGGAAGGGGACAATAAGGTATCGGAAAGTGAAGGGGATTCCCACAGATCTCTACAGTGGCTCAGGGACTATGTAGAGAAGGTGAAGAGGGAGAGGGAACAGGCCTTTGACATCCGTGCAGCCTGTCTCAAACATGCAGAAAAATCTTAGAGAAATGGCAAGAAAGGGATCGGCGAAGTTGGGAAATCGACCAATCAGTTTGGTGTTCTCAGGAAAGTGAAAGCGGAAGAACTATCGGAATACACAGCATTCAGGTATGCAGAAAAGAAGAGAGCAAGGGAAAAGGGAGTGAAAGACAGAGATAGAACAGCTCCAGAATCAAAGGATGATTTCCAAGATCTGCGCCCAAAGAAGTGGAAATCCGGGCAAAGTCAGAAGAAGAGGAACCCGAACATGACTCAGCCCGAATTGGAGGCAGAAGCAGCACGCACACAGCTGGAAAAGGAAGCGGCCGTGGTAATCGCACAAACAGCGATGCTGAACAAACTGAATGAGGAATACTCAACAGAATTCACAACAATCGCACACATTGCCAGGGACCAGGCTCCTTTGGTGGTAGAGACAGCCAAATCATCAAGACTGACACTGATGAACATCCGCCCCTTGATTGCTGCAAGATATRTAGAAAAAATTGAGGAGTGGCAGATTGCAACAGATGTGTCCTTTCAGATTCCATGCTTTGAGGAAGGGCAAAATGTAGCTACCACACTCCGCGAGAAGATATCCACGGAGTATCCATTGGGGGTCTATGATACCATGCCAAGCAACCCAGWTCAGGAGGATGCACTTTCTCAACCAGAACAYGAGGGAGCAACTCAACATCACTCAGAGCATGGTAGACAYTCACCTCAGGCTTTTTCACCTCTGATAGTCAAGCTGTCAAACAAAGCAATTCTGACTTCAGGGATGAAATGGAGACCATGGAGAACAATTCAAGTTGTACCCTATAGTGTCTTGGCAGGCTCGAKCCTACCGGCTGAATTGGCAGCAGTCTCATTGGCTCAATTGGTAACTTCAGGTATGTTGGAGGGAGATGGGGACTTAGACAAGGGCATACCCGGTGGACTGGGAAAGGTTTTATAGGAGTGACGAATCCGAGGGGGAGGACCAGGCATGGCATTCAGATGATGAGAAGGAAGAAGAGGACCAGGAGGATGCAATGGACTCAGACAATGAGGACAGTGAAGAGTTGTTTGTGGTCCCCAGACAGGAGATGGATAAGATGATTAGTGTAGGACAGCCTACGACTGACTCCCAAGGGGGGGAGGGGCCGTTGGACATGGACACAGGGGGGGGTGCACCTTCGTAGAGCTTTCATTAAACTACAATTATACCGCTCTAACCTGACAGTAATCAGAGGATGGAGAGTTTCAGGAAGAAGGCCAACGAGAGGGAAGCCCGGAGGGGCTGGAAAGACCAAGGAATCGTCATCAGGTCATGGAACGTGAATGGTTTGGGAAATATCATAGACAAAGAAGAAAAGTGGAATGACATAATCCAAGGTTTAACAGTCAAAAACAAAACGCCTGCAGACATAATAATGCTACAAGAAACTCATCTCTCCTTTTCAACAGAACACAATAAAATCAGAAAATTTGTGGCAAGGAAATTGGGAGGGGTCAAAGACGAAATATGGGCGGCCGACAATGCATCAAGCACCAAAGGCACAACTATCTTAATCCCCAACTCCTCACGCATATACAAGGCAGGAAATGTGATGATCAAGGAAGCAGACCCCCAGGAGGGCAGATGGTGCTCCATGCATATTAAATGGAAAGAGGAAGAAATTCTCCTCCTCAATATCTACGCCCCAAACAACGCAACCAAAAGAACGTCCTTCCTGTCAGAGTTGGGGTCAAAGATTCCACCGCTGAAACCGTGCATAGTAGCAGGCGACTGGAATGCAACCTTAGACCCAGCAACGGACCGCATATCCAGATCCTCCAACATATACAATTCTCAAGAGGCAATACCGGTCCAGAGACTGATGGTGGATCACGAACTAATAGACCCTTTTAGAACCTTCCACCCGTCGTCAAGAGCATTCACACTGATCAAGAAAAGCCATGCGCAACATACAGCCTTCTCACGAATAAACTATTTCCTGATCTCAGGCACAATGATGGGAGCGGTGAAAGAAGCAGAGATCCTACCTCTAGCACCCTACCAAGGACTGGATCATAAACCTATTGAGCTCACGTTGTGCTTTGAGCAACAAGTGAGGAAAGGGGCCAGCTTTCACAAACTGAACAACTCACTCCTGCTAAGCCAAACCTTTCAAGAAGGAATACGGAAATACTGGAAAGAGAGGGGTTTGTGTCGCCTTCCCACTCAAGACCGATGGGGATGGTTTGTAGAGAGTTACTCGCTACTGGCGGAGGCAGCAGCTGGCATGTCAAGGAAACTGGCCTCTATAAGAAAGCAGAGAAAACAAAGTCTGGAAAAGGCCCTGAAGATAGCAGAATACAACCTGAGGGATAACCCGTCTTCAGCACTATATGCGGACATATTTGAAAAAGCACGGGAAAAGCTAGCGATGTGGAGGTGGTGGGAGTTGAAAGGCATGCAGATAAGAGCCAGGATGTGCGAGTATGATCTCAGCGAATCAATGACGAAACACTTTTTTGCCCGAATTAAAGCCAATGCAAGAGCGGCCACAATAAAAAAACTGAAGAGTCTTAGCAACCCGGAGATATCAGAGGAAACCAGCGAAGGGATTTTGGGAATAGCCAAAGATTTTTCCCAGGATCTGTACCAGACTAAAACCCAAACACCCACGTCAAGTAATACATTGGAAGTGAGACAAAGAATGTTACAATATTTGGAACAAACGATATCACCGGAACAATCAGAAGAGCTGGACAAGCCCCTTTCGTTGGAGGAGCTAAACCAAGCTCTCAAGAGCATGAACAATGATAAAGCACCAGGTATTGATGGTTTGACAAGAGAGCTCTGGGAAAAATTCTGGCCAAACCTAAGGGGGGACCTGTTGAACTTCTACAAAGATAGCTTTGAGAAAGGGGGTTTAGGCAGTCTGCTGAGTAGCAGCGTAGTAACACTACTGTATAAGAAGGGAGACAAGGAAAACATAAGGAACTATAGACCTATCTCCTTACTAACTCTCCCTTACAAAATCCTAGCCAAGACCCTGGCTGCCAGAATCATGAAAATAACTGATAAATGCTTTCATATTGATCAGACGGGCTTCATCCCGGGACATTACATTCTCGATAATGTGCTAACTCTAAACGAAGCGGCAAACAAAGTCAGGGAAAGGAGGATAAACACAGCCATCCTCTTCTTCGATTTTGAAAAAGCCTATGATCAAGTCAACTGGTCATTTATGGATGCAAGTATGGAACGCATGGGGGTGGGACCAATTTTTAGGAAATGGATCCGGGTATTGTATAACAATGCCTCAGGTTGCGTACAGATCAACGGTTTTCTATCTGACAGCTACCCAATATCCCGATCAGTCAGACAAGGGGACCCGTTAGCCCCCTCGATCTTCTTATTTGTGATGGAGGCCATTGCTTCCTTCCTAAGGAAAGACCCTTCCATACATAGACTCCCAGAGGTTAATGTAGGGACGTCGCATCATCTCAAATTCCCAACAGTTATTCTGTTCGCAGATGACATGACAATACTGATTAGAGCGTCAGACTCGTCTTTTAAAGCACTATCCAGGGCGATGGAAGCCTTCAGACTAGCATCAGAAATGAAGATTAATTGGAAGAAGACCATAGGCTGGTGGCTATCGGATGAACAGATTCCCAACCTACACGGACCAGAGGCTGACATGTCCTGGGATATGCCAGAAACACCCACCCAATATCTAGGCATCCTCATATCACGTGAGGGCCTGGCAGCACAGATGGCCCAGAACATGTTAGCCAAACAGTTAAACAAATTGGTTAGATGGGGAAACACATTCACCTCACTGGTTGGTCGTGCATTGGTACTGAACACTTCTATCTTCTCCATGATGTGGTACATTGCATCGGTCTGGACAATCCCGGACGAATCACTAAAGGAACTTAATTGAGTGGCCAGGACGTATTTATGGACAGGCAACCCCAACAAGGAAGGTTGTATCCCAAAGATAGCATGGCATTACATTACAAGAAGACCGACACAAGGGGGTCTAGGAATCATCGAACCGAGGTGTGAAACGAGAGCGCTTCAAGTTAAATGGATAGTCCGATTGTTGACTAAACCAGAAACAATGAATGTTTTGATATTTGGAATTATCGAAATAAATTAGTAATAAATAAGTACTTAGTAATATTCAACGAATAAGCTTGAATCATACTTATATTATTACCCAGAATAGCCCTGTCATGTTATTTGGCGATGCCACCGGCGCTAGGGCCCAATGGTCCTTGAAAAGGGCGAGACGAAGACCAGGGGGGAGGCAGAAAGGAATACAGACAATCGCCAAACACCGTACTAGGCATCTCTAATTCAGATTTGGAGGGAAATAATGCCAAAAAAGAAGAACAGACCAAAATCTAAGGACGAGGTATTGAGGCAGCCACTCTTCGGAAATGAGTGGTTGAAGGGCGAGAGTGATGAACCCCTGTTTCTAGACCACAAATGGCAATCATGGGTAAAAAATGGAGTCTGGACAATCAGCCACTTCTGGAATGAAAAAAAGAAAGAATGGGTCTCCGAACAAGAGTTAAGAGAACGTTTGAAGGGATGCCATAGAAGAGAACTCAACCTGCAGTACATTATTAATCTCATCCCTCAAGATTGGAAAGATATGCTAAAACAAGGGGAGCCATGGAAAAGTGGCGAATGGGGGATCAAAGTGCTGGAAACGTATCCCTCCAGGGCCTTCCAGTTCTCACACCTACACCCCGGTTCAGACTCTCACGCGGTTTTCACCTCCTTTCCAATTGACCACTCAACGAAGGGGATGACAATGATCAAGAACATAGACGTAGAGACAACAGTCATGGAATATTTCCTGCTCAGAAAAGTGTGGGTTTTAGGCACATGGCCGAAGTTCATCTTCAGAACCGACACAGCTCTACACAACCTGGAGTTTGACCCGATGGAATGGGCATGGAAACCAGAAAGGAGGGCGAATATAAASAGAKTCATCCCCATTCAGGAWTACACGGTCAAATTCGGATAYGAACTAYTGCTAAAAACAAAAGATCCAGAACCGGTRATTAAGACCAGKTGGCAGAAGTTAATAGGACAGGAAGCAGACAAGCTCACACARATYCCGTGGAAAATTTATAAAACAATCAGACCAATCAAAGTCAGAAGTCTTCAATGGCTGATTACATATGCGGCATTACCAGTTAATCAATGGTTACWTGTAAGGCGCAAGAACTCAGACCCAGACAGCACCGATCAATGCAAAATATGTACGGAGGGAGCGGTAGAGGATATAATACATTGCCTAATTCACTGTAGGAAAGCGACAGAAATCTGGGCAAGAGCCTCGGCCCTATGGGACTCCCTCTTCCTATCTCCTTTCCCCGAACAACCCATCCAACTTCTCCTTCTGACTAACATCCCTGAACAATTCCGGAAAGCGGAAAAGAGCTGGTATGGACTCATCAGGAAGGTGACAATATGGGTCATATGGAAGGAAAGATGCAGTAGAACAATTGAAGAAGTATCMAACTCACGAGAGATGGTTTGGCTGGAGACGAAAGCAATGATACAGGCGGAAATCCTATGCCGCTGGCGGAAAATTAAATCATCATGGTCAGAGGATGAGGAGCAGCGAAAGAACGCGAGACAGAAGTTCGGTCGAATATGGTTGGTAGGAGGGAAAGTTGCTGATCTGCGAGAAGACCACATCTACTGGAAGAAATGGCATAACTCCAACTCGGGAAGAAGTATCGGACAGAGATTAACCGCATAAGGGCAAGGCACCTCCAGACCAGAATCTTAAAGAGGAAAGGTAGTCAAGCAAGCCCCGACAGAAGATGAGGGTCAGCGTAAGAGCGGGAGATTGGAGCTGTACAAGAAGGGGCGAGACAAGAATGGACTGTATCTACTGGAAAGGGAACCACAAGTCAGGGTTAGAAAGGAGCTCTCAACAGAGGTCCAAAGCGGGTTCATCAATCACCTTTCACAGACATTTTAAATATCCATGGAAACTCAAGCCAAACTACAGCAGATATGATTCGACAGAACAATTTTGGACGGGTGCTTCTTCAAGACCAAAACAAGGTGAAAGGGCGTTCCAAAGGACTGTTGTAACAAGGGGCCACAGGCTGAAGGAGGAGGGTTGAGGGTTTTAGGGATGCCGTACAAGCAATCCTAAACCTTTACAGCTATGGTTGGAGAACATGGAGAGGGACCAAAAGAACAGAACCAAAGGGATACACCGGCTCGAAGAAAGGAGGGGCTGAAGGTTTAAGGTTCAAGGTTTTAATGATGACTTAAACATTAAAGAAAGGGGCTCAGATAGAATGGRACAGGGGACATTACGCCTTACGRGCAGGCCAGAGGAACGGGGTTGAGGCAGGCCAGCAGGGATTAAGGGGGAGCTCTTTCTAGGTGGCATAGTACTATTTGGCAGATCCGGCCTCCAGATCTGAGAGGAAAGAGAGGGATATGGCAAGCTGGCAGTCAATCCTCCACCAAGGTGGAGCAATCAATGTTGTCCAGGGCACCTTCAGCCGAACGGAAGGAAGCGTGCGTGAGTCTCAATGTAATGTGTATTCTGACTTGCCGATGGAATAGGAACCGGACTGACGCTCCCCAGAATAGAATGGAGCCAGGACCATAGGCCCTGATTAAAAAAAAAAAA